TTAGCCTTTTGGAAGGCATTTTTTATTTATTTTTGCTATTGCAATACGCCTTCGGATTTCGATATCATAACAAATCCTAAGTAAGGGAGATAACTCTTATCAAGTTTTGATTCATACTTTTATGTTGTAGAGATGTGAGGCTGGACTTTGTGAAAATTAGATGTTTAATTTTTAAAAGCTTCATCTTGGATAAATTAGTAGATTAACTTTCAGAATTTTTATTGCAGAACGAATGCACGTCTCGTGAACAATATTTGTAGCTTTTTGAATAGGTTGAATGTAAAGGAAAATGATTGAAAAGAGACAAAAAATGGTTTTGTTGCTAGTGAGTTGATTCTTTTTCCGAATCTGCATATTATTTTTATACATTTCAATATAATTGATTTAAAATGAAAATCCAATCTTTCTTTCTACATAATTGTCAGCCAATATGGAGATCATCTGTAAAATTGAGTCTCGTCTTTTAATGAAATTTGAAGAATGTGTTCAGAAAGTTGGTTTTGTTGTGCCAGACAGTTTTACTTGTCAGAATCTATCTTACACATTTATAAATCTACCATTCATTGAATATTGCTGCCATATCAGGTTTGGTGCTCCACCTATATAATGCAAGATTCTCAACAAAATCCAAATGATCTGTAATGTACCTGACCTGACCTGGCATTTTGACCTCAGTCACCTTTCCACTGATATGACATGCCTTCCCTCTGTCTTTTCTATAAATATTTTCATGACAGTTTTTCTAATGAGTTCTCCTCCTTGGTACCTTGACTGCATGAATTTAAGTGTACTACTAGATTGGTAACTAGGTCTCATCATTTTACTGTTGAAATAGCGAGATATGAAACCATAAATTCTATTCTGTTTCCTTTTTTTTATTATTTTTTTTTATTTTTTTTTTTTATTTATTTTTTTTGCACTTCTTATCTCTGGAATTCTCAAGTTGCTTGTTTTACTGTCACCTACAATCTTTAAAAATTTAAATGCAATGTCAATTACTATCTTCTATTTTCCTGAATTCTGTCCTATTATTGTCCTTTCTCCTCATTAAAGTCTTATTTGCTTTCATTCACAGTAACACATTGTGTCTTAGTGATATTATCACTTTACTTGGGGTCAAATGATTAAAAATATAAAATGAAAATAACTTCTCATTATGCATTTTTTTTTATTTTAGCAAACAGGTTCTCTATTTTAAAAAGTATTTGTGGATATTCATCATTTCAGAAATTTTTGTGAGAAAAATATCAGCTAGATGTATTTTTTTTTTTTTTTGCTAAATGTTCGCTCAATACAAGACTCAATAGCCACTCAAGGTAGAGGGTTAGTAAATGAGGTCTTTGTATGTAGGAGGGGAAATGGGGAAGTAAATACAGATTGTCAGCATACATACTATTGGTAATGGTTGATCCTAGACTTGAAGAATTTAAGATTGTGGTATTTGAGGAAGCATCCTCTGAAGAATCTATTGCATAAAATAGCAGATTTAGAAAAAAAAAAAAAAACTGTGCCAATAGAATTTCTTACCAATGGAATGCAATGGGAATGAGGATGGTTCACCCCAGTGTATATGGCATGGCAGGTTGATGTTGTAAAGGTTTGAATTGGTAGAGCTAGGGAATGAACAGAATATTTTCAATAGAAGTGGCAATAGAGTAGCAATGTTGCATCTGTGGGGAAGGGGATGTATGGTGGAAAATAATTCATCATCCACAAGGCTATGTAAATGCTTTTGGAACTCTATTAATGAGGATTGGGCAATTCCAGCCTAGATATGGCAGCAGTACTCCATTTTTGGTCTGATCTGACTCCTGCAAAGATAGAGCACGGGAGGCGGTATCAGGTGCTTTCTAGAATGGTATAAGGATCTGACCATTTTTCCAGTCAAAATTGAAGAATATTAAGATGTAATATTTGGAGAATTTTAACTGTTGACTATAGAAAAAAATTTCTTTTCATAGTAATATTCTTTTTACTATTAGTGGCACTGAATAAAATGAATAAGCAATTTAAGGAAAATAAATAAGCAAATATTAAGGTGTTTGCATTAATAATGGTATATCAACAGTGTGTTTTCACTGAGATGTGAATTGAGCATGTCATTGTTTTTTTTTTTTTTTAATTTTCACAATACTAGTCCCAAAAGCCACTCAAGGTAGAAGGTTACAGTGTGGAGTCCTACTATCATAGGAACAGACAAGCGTTAGGAATATAGAGCTGAAGTAGACAGAACCAGAAACCTAATCCTAAACAGGAAACAAGGGATAAAACTCTACTTGTGTTCAAAAGACTGGGGAGGAGTGTGAACTGGATGATACGTGAACCTATCTACTCCAATTGCAAATTAATTCATGTATCAGTGGCACCAAGTGCTGTTTAATCTCTTGTCAAAGAGAAAAGTTTGAAGAAACTTATTAATCAGAAATTATTTGAAAATAACTTTGACTTCAAAATTATCACAAAGTAAATATTTAAAACAAAATTAATAAGACTTCCTTTTGAAATAAAAGTAAGCTGTTGCTGTCGTAAATTCTAGACATATCTAGTGATTTTGCTTATTTTGATTCTGAGAGTACATAATTTTATATATATATATATATATGCACTCATTTATTTAACTTGATTAAATCTTAAGCAACTCCACTAGTGTTGTTAATTTGATTTAAGTAACTCAAAAGAAAATTAAACTAAAAGTTATTAAATATGTTATTTTCTAGTGCATTCAAGAATTCTACTTGTTTAGTTACATTAAATTTTTTTTTTTTTTCCTATAAGCATAACAAATTTAAGCAACTTGAGTACTGGTCAAAATCCCAAGTTCCTTATTAAAAAAATCTTGTGCTTTAATAACTTTCAAGTGACTGCCCCACCCCAGCCTTCTGTTGATTTTGTTACATTTAACTTTCTGAGTTGAAAACAAATTTTACTATTTTTAAATTAACTTTAAAATTTTTTTGATTGGCCTTCCTTCATTAATTCCCTGAAATCAATGTCTGTAATTCTACCTTTAATTGATGTGCACAAAATTGTAATTTTTTTTTATTCTCTTTTTATTGCTTTTCTTTACTAAGTCAGTTTAAAAAAAAATTTTAAATTATTTTATTATTATTAACAATAATACAAATAATGCAAAATGGCTTTCATACTCATAAAAATTTGTATACTGATCTAAAAAAAACAATTTACATTGTTACCTCGAATATTTGAAACCCTTCCATAATAACATCTATGGTTTTGCTTGAGTTTCTAATAAAAATTACTACATACAACACGGTGGAGTTATGGATAGCGGCCTGGATTGAGGAATCAGAGAGCCGAGTTCAAATTACAGTCGAATCCATTACATTCACATGTGCTAATACCCTTGGGAAAGATATGAATCTTCTTCTCTCTCCCCCACCACCTATGGGTAAATAGCAGGACAGACTGGGTTCTATAGCCTTGGATGGCAACTGGTCTACCACAGAAATGGCAACCTACTGCAGGAAAAAAAAATCTGCCCCATCAGTCAGGATTTGATCTATTAAACTATCAAAAGATACATGATCACCTAAGCGTGTATCATGCATGGCACATAACTGACTGATATACAACAGAACTTATGCTTCATTTTGATAACTAAAATTGATTTCACTATAAAGACTGACACTAATGTGTTGGTCAGTCAGTTTATCAGAGGCAGCAAAGAATCATTTTTTTTCTTTTTATTACTGACTGCATGAGATAACTTGTATTTATTTTTTAATTTTTTTCTCCCCGAGCTTATTTGAATTTAACTCTCCAGGATAAATATAAAACCAAATCTTAAAATCGAAACAAATTCCTTAAAATTGGGTCATTGAATTTAAAATTTCACTAAATATATTAAAACAATTTTAACTTATTAAATACACATTCTCACAATCAGTTACTTTAGTGTTAAATGTCTAAAACAAATGTGTGTGATATATAATGTTCACCTTATATATGGACCAGAGCCACTCGAGATAGAGGGTGACAGAGGAGTTTGTTGTGAGATTTGTAAGATTAAGAGATACAGTATGAGTTTCTATGTGTATATATTCATTTATGTAGTTCACTGCTACCAGCAAGCAGAATTTTTTTTTCTCCTGATGATGGCCATATTGGTCAAAACTAGTCAAGGAATCTAAATGAAATAATAATAAAAATGAAAGAATATTAATATGCAACCCAGTGTGTCTGAAGATTTTAATTTTTTAATACTTTTTTATTATATATATATATATATATATATATATATATATATATAATAGTTTTAAGGTATGCTATATTTATGGTTTAAAGTGTTCAATATTAGGGATAGAGTGCATGTAAATGTAAAAGTGGATATTGAAGTCAACACCCAAGGCATTGACGTCAATGAACACTTTTGTATTTATTTATATATAATATCACACATTGAGTGTTGGTTTTTTTTATTATATATATATATATATATATATAAATAAATAATCTATTTCCATACCTGATGATGTCTGTATGAACAGATGAAAGCTTAAAAAAAAAAAAAAAAAAAAACAACCTATGCAACTGGAATTTATAAACAGGGATCATAACATTCATCTACATGTTAACTTCTATATCTGTTTTTATATGAATGATTCATGTAATGTAAATTGAACTGCATCACATATATATATATATATATATATATATATATATATATATATATATATATATATATATAAAAAACAATAAAAAAGTATTAAAAATTAAAATCTTCAGACACACTGGGTTGTATATTAGAACTGTGTAGGGGAAAAAAACATTTTAAATCAATTAATTTATAATGCTTTATGCTTTGTAAATTTACATTGAGCACTATTTTGTAAAAATAAAAATATCTATAAAAACACCGGATTATATATCTTACTGTTCTTTCTTTTTATTTATATATATATATATATATATATATATATATATATATAGTAACCTTTCCAGTATTCTAATAAATCGTTTTGATGATATTCTATGGAAAAATGAATGCTGATATTGTAAACAAGTCAAGTTTAGAAAAGACACAAGCGTAATTAAATTTTGTGCTCCAAACACTCAAAACTGTTCACCTAACTGTTGTGCAAATAATACAAGATGGTAACATTCTTTTTGTATACCAATTTTACTAAATCTGTATTTGTAAATGAGCAGCATGCATGTTCAATTATGATATTTAAATTGAGCTTTTTAATATCTAGTGACTAGATCAAATCCTGTTAAATACATAAACATTTTAATTGAATTTTCTGTTTAATAAACATATCTTAGCTGAAGTATCAACGAGTACATATATGTGATTATTTAGCAATAACTGTATTTTATTGTATCTTAATGTCAAATATACGATGAAGTAATGAAAAGTTTTCGGCCTAACAATAAAAATAAATAAATAAACGAAAAACAAACTAAAAAACAATTAGTTGTCCATATTTTACAAAGTGGGCCAAGCAGGACCTCTTAATTGCAAAACAGTTAAAGGGAAGTAATTCATCTTCTGCTACAGCATTATTAAAGGTAGTGAGCTCCCTTGAATATTTCTCGTCTTCATGAAGAGCTTTTCTAAAAAAAATTTTTTTCTTTGTTTTTTAATTAGTTTTCTTTTTCATTTAAACAATTTTGATTCTTTGTGATTTACGACTTGTATTTATTTCTTTATTTTAACAGAGACGACTTATTACGAAATTTCATTTGCTGAAAGATAAAAATGGTTTGGGAATCCATATCGCTGGAGGCAAGGGGTCTAAGAAGGGGGACATTGGGATCTTTGTGGCTGGAATTACAGAAGGAGGTGCTGCTCACAGGTTTGTTTCTTTTACGTTTTCCCCACTTTCAAACCAGTTCATCCTCCATGCCATAACTGAAAATACAGTTTAAATTTATTTTATGAAATGATCAAAATTCCTAATTTCTCTTACACATGAACTAAGATATATATGCTGTCCAATTTTGCCATTTTGATTATTGTTCCGACAAATCTTTGTAAAGAAGTTTTAGACGAAAAAGGTTCCTTTATTCTTTTAAACAAATTTTGTTAATAATACTGTCAATGTCTGTCTATTTTTTATTATATTTTTCTAACTTCTAACCAAGTTGTTTTTATGCATTTTTTATATATATATATATATATATATATATATACATACATACATACACAGAGTATATTTTCAAAAACTTTTGTTTTTTGTTGTTGTTTTTTTGTTGTTTGTTGATTTTTTGGGGGGGTAATCAGAGTACTGTCACTAGTTATCAAGAATTGCATTTTTTTTTTTGTCTCTTTATGGAACTGTGTTTGGCTAATTCTGGTGTGTCTTTTCAAGTTACTTAAAGGTGACATCATTTACAATGACCAAGGTGAAAAAAAATTATGTAAAAAGATAAAAAAAAAACGAACTTTAGAAAGTTTACCAGTTGTATAAAACAATTTAGAAGCTGGAAAAAAATTAATTAAAATTGGACAGACAGACCTTGTCAATATTGTTCAATCATATATATATATATATATATATATATATATATATAAAGTTGGCACTACTATTTTTAAATATGGCTTCTCTTCTCAAGTAAAGAAAAATAAAATTTGATGATCTTTGAGGTGTCATACTATTAAATATTATATTAAATATTTCCTTAACAATTTTCTGGAAAATAAAAGTATGATGTTATGTTTTTTAAACTAATTTTCATAGATACCTTTTAAATTTCTATTTTCAGGGACGGACGCTTAAAACGAGGTGATGAGCTACTCATGATCAATGGGGCCAGTTTGATTGGCCTTACCCACCAAGAGGCAGTTAATGTATTAAGAAATACTTCCCAGGTTGTGCAATTGGTTGTGGCCTCAAAGGTACTTGTTTTTTGGTTTTTTTTTTTGTTTTTTTTGGAGGGGGGGGGACTTAAGTTTTTTTTTATTTTTTGTATGCATGTACCTGTGTATTTTTTTATTGTAAAATAATGTTTTAGACCTGTTTTTATCTTTATTTAATTTGAGGACATTTGTTTTAATAAAGTAAGTTGAATTCAAATTTGCCAATGAATAGCAACATCAAATATTTTAATTTTGTTACTTTATATTTTCATTAATTTCTCCTTTTTTTATTTTAACAAAATGTCACACAAAAACACAAATCTTACTTTACATTTAATAAAAATCTTATCTTTCATGAATTGAATTATGTATTTGTTATATTAAATTAAAAGAAAATATTTAGTGATAGGCAAACATTCTTAGTTGTTTAAGAAAAATGATTAATTTTTCAAATGGACTATTTGAAACAATAATTATCCTGTAATATAACCGAGCTGATTATTTTTAATGAAAGTGTTACAAGTAAAACCAGAAAACAGGTTTTCAATTGATAGCCATTTTATTTTATTCATATACACATACACTTTCCAAAGAGATTCTCCTCACCACAAGGATTATAGATATTGTTCAGAAAATAAATGTTGCTCACAATGAAAAAGAAAAGTATTTATTTTACACAACAAATATTTATTTTTCAACATAATGTCATTCAATACCAATTCTCTTGATTAAGTGATAGATATGTTTGTACAACAATAAATCCACAGCATTATAAATGAGGCCAGTTTCTTTATTAATGCACTTTATTTAATAGTGAATCAGTAATGTAGATCAAACATTATACACTGAAAATTTCAGATAAAAATTCAGCTAATAAAATATAAAGAAATACTGTAAAGTTATTGGTCTGAACAAGAACAGGTTTTTAAAAAAAATTTGGTCATTTGTTAAGATGGTGTTGGTGAGAAATTTTCAATATACTCTTTTGTTTGTGTAGGTGTGTGTGCAAAAATAATTTGGGTTTTCTACCATCAAATTTCAAGGTGTCTATTTCAACTTAGAATAAAATTTATAATTGGAAAAAAGTACTATTAGAATCAATACATTGTTGCCAAAAATAAATAACTGTATTTATTCCAGTAGGATAGAATTCCAAAGTCCTAGAACCTTATGTATTCTTTGAAAGTCGATTGGTTGTTGAAGACACTTCTTACAGAAAATTATAGGTATGCTTGGAAAAGTACAAGTTACTCACCAGACTTCTCTTTGACTAAGCTGAGTGATGCAGGTTTATAGCCTAGTTTATTCAACTTCTGCAGAGTCATACAGTCAGGTGTTGTCATGGAGAAGTATTGATCCTCTTTGATCCTCTAGTTTTGTGAATAAGTTTTAAAAAAGTAATGACAACTGTAATTATTTTGGCACCAATATGTATAATATAATAAATTAACATAAAAACAATTTCAGTCCAGTTAATCAATTGCATAAAAGAAATCAATGACTTAAAAACTCTCAAGTGGATGTTTTTAATATTATTTTTCAAAAATATTTTCATTATCAAACTTTCATTATGAACTGAAGCTTTACATTTAATTATTTTTTTTTATTTGATACTTTTTGCATTTTCAGTTCTTTTCTAAAAATGTTATTCCTTTATAAATACTTTAGCTTTAATCATCAGGATAAAATCAATTAAATATTTGAATAAATAATCATTTATATTTTGCCTTTAATAGATTTTTACAAGTATATAAATAACAGCATTATCTTAGTTTGTTCCAGATCTTAAATTTTAAACATTTCACACTGGGGTTTGAAAAATAATTCCAAAAATAAAAATATCAATTTTTTTCCCAAGCAAGGCAATAAAGCCATAAGAAAGCAAGAAGTTACTGAGTGTTACAGAATATAAGAAAAATATACTATTAAGGAGAGAGGACAATTAAAAAAAAAAAAGAAAAAAGAATTTAGAAGACAAAAGACAAAAACTGACATTGGATTTAAATAATTCAAGATCAAAGATGACTGGGAAGCAAGCAGCCAGAAGAGTTCCACAAGTGAGAAGTGCAACAGAAGAATCTGTTAGCATAGAACTTACAGATACATGTAGCCATTTCAACTGTAAAATGATGAGACCTTGCCAACAATCTAGAACTGTGCTTAAATTCATAAAGTCTAGATACCATAGCAGAAAGTTCATCAGAATAATTACCATAAAATTAGTTATAGAAAAGGCACAGGAAAGCTACATTATGACGATGAGACTAAAACTGAGATGCCAAGTCAGGACCAATGACATTGCAGATTCTTCTTTGGATTTTATCAAGAATCTCTAAATATATAGCAGGAGCACCAGACCAGATGTGGCAGCAATATTCAAAGCAAGGATGAATGGTAGACTTATAAATTCATCATAAGCCATAGAAAAAAAAAATCTTTTGATATAAGACTTACAAATTTTGTTTGAAGACTGATAACTTCTCAGCCTGACACACTTCCTAAAATCTGAGCAAATATCAAAATTTTAAAAAAATTACTTTCTTGGTCAGACTGAGAATTTTTCAGAACTTCATATTAGATATGAATTTATTTAACATGAAAAAGTAACTTTAATTATTGCTATATAATTTTTTGTCATTGTTTTTAACTTGATACAGAAATAAAATAATATTTTTACTAATTAAAGTCTAGCACTCTCCCATGATGTGAATAAGTAAATTTTGAACTTGATTAAGGTAGCTGAAAACTGAATTTTCTATAAAAAACTATAAAGTTATTAATTTTTTTACCTAATTTAATAAATCACAATACCTCCTTTCTAGTTTTGTATTAAGTGACAAAATGAAAGTCTTCTTTGCTTTGGTTTTCTAAATAAAAATAAACAACTTTATCAAAAGAAAATGTTAACTTTAAACTATATAATTCTATAATTATCGTAATTTCCATGTATAAGGCAACCTTTAGATAAGACAAGGTAAAAAAATATAGCAAATTTTCATGAATCTTTTCTTTATTACTATAAGAGTGTGTCAACGTTGCTTGTGTGTTTGCCAGAAGTTATATGGGTGAAAGAAAGATATGAATTTATTACCATGTAAGAAGCAGGAGGAGAGAAGGAAATGGAGAAAAAAAAACTGCTTTCTCTTTCCACTTTCCCATGATTGCATGCATGCTTATATTTCAGCTTTCTTTAAACAAACAATATTTTAAATATTATTATTTCATTTTTTTTTTTCAAACAGACAATTTTTTAATGTTGAAAGCAACTTCAATAACTGCAAATAAATGTATTTTTAAAATATCTCTACTTTCACAAACTCTTCATGAAACTAAATGTAAACAGTAACATAACAAGGTTGACCCAACGTGTCATGAGTTGTCTAGTTTATGCTATACCTGTAGTAGCAGATGACTGCTTATTGATTATATAAAGATGATGTCAGTACTTACTGTATCCTTAGAAATTCAAAATAAATGAGATTTAAAAAATAATTCTATATCATGTTTTTCCTACACACATCCCCTAAAAAGGAAACCATTGTTTTGTTTGTGATCTCTTGTGAATACTGATTCTTCTTCCTCTTCTTTTTCTATTTCTAAACAGCCTAGTGTACTAATGGCCATTTACTTATACATCATCAACAATCACAAAATACCACTAATAACAGTATGATAATAGTACATTCCACTTTTATTGAAAGTTTAGCGAAAGATAACGGTTGGTGTGAATGCAATCATAACTCAATGTTTAGCTTTTCTCAACTGAGCTTCCATAGATACATGATTACATTGATATGGAATTATTCTTTGAATAGGCAATTTATTATGTAGTTATACCAGTAATATATAAGGTAGAAATGGTTTTATTATTTTTATTATCTGTTTATGTCATAATGTGAATCTTTTCATGTATGTTATTGGTTATCACACTGAGGCTGAGGTTAGCCTACTGACAAATATCACTCAGAATCTAAGGTTTCTTTTTTAGAATTGTAGTATAAGACAACTCTTAATTTTAAGGGTGATTTTGGGGATTTAAAGGTCATCTTATATGGGGAAATATATGGTATTTTTTAAATATATACAAAATTAACATTGCCAATATTAAAAGCCTTGAGTTTTATAATGTAAAAAATAAAACTTTTCAGTTTAAGACATCTGAGCAATATTCTTTATGAAATGTTCAGTTGGAAATAAATAAAAAGAAAAGCTATCAAAAAGAGAAAAATAAAATATATACAAACAAACATTCCTCTGATCTTTTCTTCCCATATTTCTTCTTTATTTTATTTCTTTTCTTTACTATTATTTTTCAGCTCCGTAAATCTGCTTCTATAGCATCTACCGCATCATCAGCGATGTCTTATACGTCATATGACGGTCATGATGGATCCACCATATCTGTAGCCCCCCTACCTGAAGTGGTGGCCCAGACACCATCTGGAAGTGTCATGAAGTGGGATGAATTATTTGAGGTGAGAACCCCTAAAAAGAAACAGTAAATTCACCATTCTCAAAGCAAAATGTTTAAAGTGTTAAGAGAAATTCTCTCCTTGCAAAAAGATTAGCTTTTTCTGCCTTCCAAGAGTCAGTAAATGTATTTTTCAGTTTGTGAGTTTTCAGGTCTGTCTTATTTCACCAAATATGTACATATAAAAAAAATAAAACTTTATTACACAGATTGATACAGTATCTACCTGTTGTGGCTTCTGTATATAATATCAATGAAAGTATTTGCAAAAATATCTACTTTCTTCTGGGTTATGCACTAAAAAAGGCAAAAGCAAGTGGTTAAATTAAGTCTAATAAACTTAAAAACACTTTCTTTATCATAATAGAAGTGAATTAAAAAACTTGTTCAATGCCTTATTTTCTTTAGAAGATTAAATTGATAAATGAAGATTCAACATTAAAATATTTATCCTACAATAAGACTTTTCTCAACCTCAAACCTTTCCCAAGGGAGACAACAATGTCAGTCTAAACACGAACAATCTTCTTATTTAACTCAACTATTTTTCAATTTGTGTCTTTGAAAGTATCTTTCTTTTATTATTTATTTCTAGACAGTGGCTTCAACCCACTTATTAATGTTGTTGCTATTATTACTGTTGTTCATAATTTTCTGAATGTGTGAGTGGTGTAATGAATGATAAGCAGCTCGGAATTAAAAATTGTAGGTTCCAGTTGTGTTCATTACATTCACTTACATGCAATTACCCTTGAGAAAAGTATGAATCCATCTCCTGCCCTCATCTATGGGTTAAATAATAGGGAAAAAAAATTATTGTTATTCGCAAAAAATTGTTAATGCAATATTCATTTGCAAACAAAGAATTATTTTTACAAAAATATGCTTAAGCTTTAAATAACCCACAAAGAGTTGATAAGCCATGAAAAACAATCAATCAGTAATTTTTATACCATATTGTATTTCTATACATTGATGATTTACTGTTGAATATGTTAACATAAAAAGATTTAACATACTAAGATGACCAAACTCCACCTGCATTATGTTGAAATTGTTGCCTTAATATTTTGACCAATCTATTCTACTGGTGAATAATTCATAAGAGTTATAATTTTCCCTTCAACAAACTGCCAACAGAGAAAATTCTGTTATGAACTTGTTGCAGGAAGAGATGTGAAAAGGAACCTGTTTCTTTTAGGGATTATTCACCTGTAGCATAGTTCAGTCAAAACATTGTGTTAATATCCTAAACACAAAGGTGTTTGGAACATATAAAAACTTACAACATGAAAATGGGCCCCCCTCCCCCAACATTTTGTAAGGAAAAATGAAAAAGAAATACTAACAGATTTCTCTTCATTTATTATCATTATTGAATATTGTGTGTGCATGTGCATAATTTTTTTTTTTTTTCTTAATACAATTGTTGATACTTTCTTTGCAGAAATTCAACAAGACTGGCTTGGATACTTATTACTCAGGTCATACAATGAAGTTTGGACCCCCTCAGACAATTGTGGTCAATAAGGGGGCTCGTGGAAAGGGGCTGCGCTTCAGTATTGTAGGTGGAAAAGAGAAGAATATGGGGATATATGTTAGGCGTATACTTCCAGATGGATTAATAGCAGAGGACGGTAGACTCCGGGAGGGTAAGTAAATATCACTAGACCCTGACTTATTTTTAATAGTTCTATTGTTTTATATAGAGAATCAAATAATTTCACTTGTTGAATTAATAAAACTTTGTTAATTTCAATAGATGTTCTTAATATTTTCTCTCTCTTCCTTCAATAATCCTGCACAATAATCTATATATTAATGCTGTTAATTTCTACCCATCTTCCTACATAAAGTGTACCTCACACTCCAAATGAAAAACATATTAACACGTTGGCTCCCACATGATCTTCCAGTGGGTTGTTTACCAATTTCTTTTCTATGAGGATTATTGGGAGTGGGATGCTATAATTAATTGCTTATGAGATCATGGTACACCAGAATCTTTTTTTTTTCCCCCCAAAAAAAATTTAAATATTTTTTATTTTTTTGTCTTTTATTTTGTTTTCACTTTGACCCCAAAAAACAACAGTAAAAATCCCATTTTTTATTTTTAGATACACAGAGCTGTACCATGCATTCAGGTATACTAAAAGATTGAGTAAACAGAAAATTTAATTGGCAAAACATTATGGAATATTAAAAAAAAAGTATATTTAGGAAACCAAAATAATGCCTACAACCAGTAAAATAAACACAAGAAATCTAATCTAATAGAAATCACATTCCTAATAAGTGAAAACATCATATTCCTAATGTCTGACTGCTTGAAAAGATATACAAGAAAAATATAAAAGCATGTATTGCTACAACACTAGGAAAAGTTAAATTGATTCTTATTTTATATGTCTCATTGAAATACTCAAGGCAAAGAAAAGATTACCTTCACATTCAGCACAAAATGGATTTACATTTTTTTTTTTTTATCAGCTTCCTTTGCACTCATTGTTTTCCTCATTTAACTATAACAGGATTTAAAATATAGTGTCAGGAACCTGAGACAATAAGGGAAATTAGGCTTGTAAGCCAACATATTAAATAAGGTTTCACCCTCTACAAAAGATAAAAGGAATAATAAAAGCCGCTACATCTGTTTTTCAATTGTCTCTGTCCTTTTGATTTTTCTTACCAATTACTTTTCTTTTCATTTTTCTTTTGGTTTCTCATTTATTCTTCTCACTTTCTTTTTCTGCCTTGATTCACTCATTTCTGTTGTCATGTTGGAAATATGATGGTGCCTTTAGGAATGTTGGTTCACATGCTAAACAATTTTTCTCACCGGAATCTATTTTACACTTTTGTAAATTTACCATTCACCTGGGCATTGAATATTGCTGCCACATCTGGTCTGGTGCTTCTGCTATATATCTAGAGGTTCTTGACAGAATCCAAAGAGTGTACAATGTTATTGGTCCTAACTTGGCATCTCGGCTTCAATCACTTTCCCACCACCATAATGTAGCCTTTCAGTGCATTTTTATTAATATTCCCATGCCAATTGTTTTGATGAGTTTTTCTCCTTGGTACCTCAGCTTCACAAATTTAAGCACAGTACTAGATTGGCAGTTAGGTCTTATCATTTTACTGTTGAAATTGCTAGATGTAACCATAAGTTCTATGCTAATAGTTTCTTCTCTTGCACTTCTCACTTGTAGAACTCTCTTCTGACTTTTTGCTTTCCTGTCAATTAGGATCTTAAAAAGTTTAAATACAACATCAATCATCATCCTTGGTTTCCTTGAATTCTGTTCTTTTATTGTCTTTTCTCCTCTATAATGCTTTTTATTGTCTTTTCTCCTCTATAATGCTTTTTATTGTCTTTTCTCCTCTATAATGCTTTTTATTGTCTTTTCTCCTCTATAATGCTTTTTATTGTCTTTTCTCCTCTATAATGCTTTTTTTCTGTTTCTTTCACTCTTGGTACTCCCCACTCTTTGTGTCTTAGTGACTTTATTGCCTGACTTTGGGTGAAATGATTATACAAGTCTACCTATCAATACTAGCAATATACATAAAATTATATCATTTAGCATATATGAACCTGAACAGAATTCTTGCCAATAAAGTCCTCAATATTTGATGAGAGCAATAATTATTGACTTAGATATAATACAGTTTAATATTTATCGACATTGACTCTTATTGAAAGTCTCAATGAGTAATTGAGAAAATTAACAAAACTCAGCCAATCTTGATAAGTATTGATGGTTATATCTAATTCAATATATATATATATATATATATATATATATATATATTAGTATAACACTTTTGACAGACTATACAGATATACCTTGTCAGAGTGAACAGGTACACAGATTCAAAGCAGAAATGCTGATCCATATATAAATAAGTTCATCATTTTTTATGGGTACTATGCTAGTATGTATTAAGCTATTTAATTTATACTTGTATTCAGAAATAATTCAACTATTAAAAAATCTTTTCTTTGTTTATTTTATTTATTGTTGTCACTTAAAGTGTAGAATATAGATTTTAACTCTGAAATCAATAACATTCATACCTGTTAACATTACACTTATTAATACTTTGTTTTAATGTTAAACGTTTGTGCCCACACAAAAAACAGTATGTCAAAAGTAGACTTATTCCTTTGACACTGCTGTACACTTTTGACACTCTTGGCAATGTTTATTGTTTTAAAAGATGATTAGAATTTTAATAAAGCCCAAACATATGAAAATGCATTTATACATTTTCTTTATTCTTAAGAACTGACAACAAAGATGTTATACGCCATTTATTAGATTGAATAAAAAAAACTTATTTTCATAGTTATTTATATAATAGTAAATAATAAATATTGCATTGTAGTTCATTTACATATTTTTGTAATTTTCTAATTTTTATAAATTTCTGAATAAAAAGATTTCTTTTCAAATTTATTTCTTTATAAAAGGTAAGCAATAAATATTGCATTGAACTTGGTTACTATATTTTTATAATCTTGTAAATAAACATTGCTGAGGGAGTCCTGAGTATATACAGTAATAGCAGTATCGAGGGAATAATCGTTCTTTTGATACACTATTTTTTATGGGTACAATGATTAAACATTTCCAATACTTCTTTGGAATTATTTTAAATTCATAGAAATACAATTTCTGAATTCAAATAATTGCAATGATCATCCTTGTTTATTGTCAATGAAATGATTGGATGTGTCCAATAGTTTGTCTTCTTTGTGTCCTACTGCAAACAAATAGTTTCACATTATCCTTGTGAACCTTAACTTTTCTGTTAAAAATAAATTTGGATTTTTTTTATGTTGTACCTTAATCCTGGATTTTTTATTATTGACCTTAATCTTTATTTTACACTTTCTACATATTTTCTAAGCTTGTATCTATCACTGAAAATCAGACACTGTTTTAGCAGTAGTTTATGAGAATAGTTTGCCAAACATCACTCAATCACAGACATTACTGTTATCTACCACAAGGACATTAATTTTATACAAAGGCTATGTTCTTGTATTATAGAAAAATGTATATTTTAAAACTTGATAACAGGCAACAAACTTAGTGGTGGAATTGCATAACATGAAAAATGCATTTAATTTTTACTGCAGTCATTCAAATAATGCTAGAAATTATTTAATGTAAGCTTAATATGTTCATATAAACTGTTTATTTATATTCTAATTAAAAAAAAAATAAAAGCTACAAATGTGCACTGAAAATTTTTGAGCCAAACCAAGAAACCCTCCAAAAGAAAAAAGATCTTATGTTGGATCAGATTTTAGGAAGTAGATCATCAAAGAAAATTTTGACCCACCTGTATACTTATATATTATAGTGTATATATGTATAGCACTTGTCATCAGGCTGTAATTAGAAAGATGATCTTGATGGCCAGGCTGTTCCTGTTTGACTAGTATTTCCTTTCTGTTGTTAAATAGGCAAAAGAAATAAATCTTATCTACATCCCTTTTCCGCTACTGAGTGGGACTCATTCAGCAAGTGAACTCAAAAAATAAACATAAAAAATGGAAATAAAAAAAAAACACCATCTAGTCCAACTTCTTTAATCTGCCTCCCTTGGGACTAAGCCAGTACTGGACCACAGAAATCAACCCCTAAACACAGACACACACACACACAAAAAAAAAAAACCAAATAAAAAAAACAATATAAACATAGTCTTACCAGCTCATTTCACATATATATTGCTGTGTTATCAAAGGTAGAAGAAAGCTTAAAACAGAAAACAATCATTAATGCTCCCAAATAAGGTTTTTATTGATTCATGCAATTAAAACCTTTCTGGTTTTGTTTTCAGCAAAAAAAAAAAAATCTGCTCCTTTTTGTTTCTTTAAGTGATACACAGTAAATGATCCAATGCCATATTACTCACAAAAAGTTTTTACAGACATTCCCTCAGTAACTTCATCTTTTCAAGCAGAGATAAAGATTTATGCTTATGCTTCTTACCTCTGGCAGCATCATCTGCACTTCCTGTTCTCTTGGGTGGCATCCTGAATGGGTAAATATACAGATATATATATAAGAAATGAACAAGACTGTATTGCCAAAACACTCTTGTGCTATCAGCTGTAGACAATGTGTGGTACTGCCCTTGTAGCTGCTCAATGAACTAATGGCTGTGCCAGATTAAAGAGGTCAGATTGTTTTTACAGTCTGACCTCTTTAATCCGGCATTTCATTGTCAATATCACTTGGTAGTAATCACCAAAAGAAAGGGAAAAAACTTCAATTGCCTACAAACCCTAACTTAGAATGCCCTGCCTTTTTGTGCCAATTGAGATAAGTTTGAAATTGGAAAGCCGAATTCCAGTCTGATTCGTTATATTCAATTACACACAAATACCTTTGGAAAGGTATGAATCTACCAACTCTTCCCCTAGCTATGGGTTAATTAGTAGGACTTGTATTAGTAAATTATTATCTCCCCCAAATTCTACAATCTAAAAATATTTTCTGGCTTTAAATAACCTTCAAAAGGTTGATAAACCATGAAAAACAAATCAATTTCAGGTGATCCCCTGATCTAAAAACTATTGTACTCATAAAAAAAGCTGAGAGGAATTTAAAAAAATAAAAGTAAAAAAAACAAAAAAAACATTCATTTCTATTGACATTTATTTATATTCAATTAACCTAGCTTAATCTTATATATACTGTCTCATGCTTATTTCTCTCTGATATTCATGAGACTACAGTAATTGCCTCACCATCTTACAAGCTAACAACCCTACAAATATCTCGTCCTGAGTAAAGTGTTAAACTACATCCGCGTCTTTGGTAAGATGTTAAACTACGTCCAGCAACAAGGCCTCTGATCAGGTTTTGAGGAGTGTGGAACCACCTCTTAATTGCTGGTGTTCCACCCTGACCCAGGGTGGTAGCACCTGTTAAGGTTCCAGCTATGGGCAAATAGTTAACTATTACCAGCAATATGTTTTTGAAAAATTTGTTACCAGCAATACAATTTTGAAGGAAATATATTACCAGAAACTGATTTCTAACAAAACAAAATATTACCAGCAATAAAAAAATTTTGTCAGCATTAAAATAATCCATTGAGGTTGATATGCCGTAAAACAAAATAAGCCAAACCAAACCCTACAGTTGAGAGCAATCCAGAAATAAAGGTAGAGAGAATAATATTCAGATTGTCTTTCAGTATTTTATGCTTCTGATAAACCAGTTCACCACTTTATCTGTCTTTGACCTGAACTCTAAAAACTGTGGAAAATTTCTTGCCACATTTTTTGTTTCATCTACCATTATATCATCTTTGTAGCAGTTATGGCCCACATTACTTTTATCTACATTTCCCAATATTGTCTTGGAAGATGGTTGCCATGAGTTTCACTCTAAATGTTCTGACCTTGTAATTCACTCTAAATGTTCTGACCTTGTAATTCACTCTAAATGTTCTGACCTTGTAATTCACTCTAAATGTTCTGACCTTGTAATTCCTCTAAATGTTCTGACCTTGTAATTCACTCTAAAATGTTCTGACCTTGTAATTCACTCTAAATGTTCTGACCTTGTAATTCCTCTAAATGTTCTGACCTTGTAATTCCTCTAAATTTCTGACCTCACTAAATGTTCTGACCTTGTAATTCACTCTAAATGTTCTGACCTTGTAATTCCTCTAAATGTTCTGACCTTGTAATTCACTCTAAATGTTCTGACCTTGTAATTCACTCTAAAATGTTCTGACCTTGTAATTCACTCTAAATGTTCTGACCTTGTAATTCACTCTAAATGTTCTGACCTTGTAATTCACTCTAAATGTTCTGACCTTGTAATTCACTCTAAATGTTCTGACCTTGTAATTCACTCTAAATGTTCTGACCTTGTAATTCACTCTAAATGTTCTGACCTTGTAATTCACTCTAAATGTTCTGACCTTGTAATTCACTAGTTGATATTTACACAGTTCCTCAACCAAACAAAGCTATAGGCAGTATTTATCCACATGCCCACATCACAACAGAATGTGACACAATGTCATAGTTTAATGTGGACTTTTGGGGGAAACTATACAAAAATTGCTCAAGCTACTTCCACTTCTGGGGACACCTCAGGTGCTGGGTAATGACCCCAACTTCTCTTCCCAGGTTATGAGTATACCTTCTTCAGCCCACCTCTCTATGGCTTTCCTAAATTCAACTTTAAACTCCAACACTTAGTTCCTTCATTTCACAATTCTTTTTTCATTCTAGTTTGACTCGGAAACAAAAATTTCCTCCTTTTTATACGTTTTTCTTTTTTATCATGAATTCTTTTCTGTTTTTTCTTTTTTGGGATTTTCCTAACTTTTTTTTTTTCATTGCCATAGAAAATATCACTTATATTGTGATTAGTTATATAATGATTAATATATAATTTTTGTCTTCTACAGGATATTATTTTTGTTGGATTATTAAGAAAATAAAAACAATGATATCTCTGTTAACCTAGCCTTCTTTTAAACAAAAAAAATACAGTGTGCGATTGGTAAATTGTCGCCATTTTATATTTTTATTTAATGTGTGTTGCTTTTTTTTTCTTTTCTTTTTAATTTTGTCAACTGCACAGTATGGTCGGGTCAGTTGGGCACCATCTGTGAGAAAAAGAGCTTCATGACACAATTCACTCCACCAGAAATTTGGAAAAAGCATGGTATACTTCTTGGCATTTGCACCGGAAGCTCCAATACCAACATTTCAGAATGTTTAGGTGTCAATCTGAGGACAGTGCAGAGGATTCGGAAAGAGTTGGATGTCTAATGGTAATTACGAAGGTGTTTGGAGTGATCACTAGTGATGGTGACATTATGCCTCCATTTATCTTCCCACAGGGCCTCAAACTCAATATGAATGCCCTATGTGAGGGGGTCAAGAAGGTGGCTGCTGAATGACCCTATTGTGTGGCAACAGGACTCTGCATCATGCTGCACAAACAGGAGAACATAGTCATGGCTGCCAGACAATTTCTAAGTTCACATCATCCCTTACATCTGGCCACCTAACTCCCCAGACTGCAACCCTCTTGATTTTTATGTGTGGGGCACAGTTAAGTGAGAGACCAACAAAACTCATTGTAATACCATAGATGAACTGAAGGCAAGGATTATGGCAGCATTCGCCAACTTAAACAAGGAGACCATCCAGAAGAGTTGCAGGAGATTCTGAAGTTGTCTCGAGGCCATGGTTGAAGCCAATGGTGATTTTATTGAATAAATTTACTCTTTAGTATTTCAAGATATTTTTGTGTAATTTTGGTAAATATATGTTAAAATGACATGTCAGTGTTATTTACATTTTTGCATAATTTAGACGACAATTTATCCATTGCACCCTGTATATTTAACAAATCTAAATTAAGAACAAAAGAATTTTTTATTTTTACCTTATTGATGCAATTTCACAAATATTTATGTCATCATATATCTCTTTCTATTCTTTGTATTTATTACAATTATTAGATTATTATAAATGTTCAAAGTTGAATAAACAGATGAATATGCTTATTATTGAAACCAAGCTTTCAAGATGCATTCCTATGATAATAATTTAAACAATTTCCTTTGTTTTATTTTTTCAATGCCTTTTATCTTTCTTTTTTTTTCTTTCTTTCTTTTTATTTCATTAGGGGATGAAATACTCGAATTAAATCGAGAACCCTTGAAAGGTCTTTCGCATCATGATGTAATTGCAAAATTTCGGCAGCTTGGTAAGGGGCCAGTGAGCATCACTTTTCGTTGTAGAATTTTTACTCCGTCCAGCAGGTGAGAGATAATTATTTTTTGTTTTTATTTCTGAGTTTTATTTCCATAACTCTACATAGGATTCTTACATTTATTTGGTTGATTAAATTCATTTTTGTGTTTTTTGTTGTTCCTACAATATTTTGGTTGATTCATTTTATTGCCGCCTTTAGGAGTATCCCAGCTATGGGCTAAATAGTAAAACTTGTATCTGAAAAAACCATTGTTATTCTCAAAAAAAATTGTTAACGCTATATTCACTTGCAAATAAAAAAAAAAAAGAATTATTCTTACAATTAAAAATATATTTTAACTTTAAATAACCCACAAAGGATAAACCTTAAAAAACAAAAACAAATCAAACTTCAAGAGTACTGTCATATATAAGGAGAAGGTCTTGCTTTTTGGTAATAGCAACCATTTTTTATTTTGCACTGCTAGATAAAGAGACCTCTTTTCATGTAGAATGGATGCTATTATGGGAACAACATAAATAAATTAAAAAGTGAGTTCAATTGTCCAGATAACTTTAAAAAGAATCTTTATAATTCCAAATGTAAATAATATCTGTACTATAGTAAATTCTTAGTGTATTAATGCACATAAATATAATAAGATTAGTTAGTTTTTTTTTTTTCTACCTTGCCCCTTCATAATGTAGGTGATCATGACTCTCCACAAATTTCTTTTCTTTATTATATGTGAATTGCTCTGCATTCCTGGAAAAGATAATAAAGTGGTTTCCTGCTGCTTCCTCCATGATTTGAAATTAAGAGTTTTCCTCCTCTTAGAATAATTGCCATCCAAGGCTTAGAGAACTCAGTCTACTCTGAGATTTAACCCAGAATTCTGTGGGCAACAAGTCATGAATTTGCATCTTATTTAAGGAAACATACATTGTTTAGAGCAGTAAAGGATAGGAAGTTGTGGAGAACCTTTGAAGAGACATGGCATATAAAAGAAAATATGACTCCTTCAATGCATTTTGATTTCTTAAAAAATGAATCATTGAGTAAAATCTGACATTGGGGTTCTGTAAGAGTCTAAAGAAATAGCATTTGTATTTTTTTTTTTTTTTACTAATGTTCACCCAATACAAAGCCCAAGGGCCACTCAAGGTAGATGGTCACTGTGTAGAGTTGTATTAGCATAAGAAAGGGCAAGATAATAGGAAAATTAGACAGCTAACATTAAGCTAACTGAGCAAATGAAAAGTCATGTATTAGTAAATTATTATCTCCCCAAAATACTTACAATCTAAAAATATTTTCTGGCTTTAAATAACCTGCAAAAGGTTGATAAACCATGAAAAACAAATCAATTTCAGGTGATCCCCTGATCTAAAAACTACTGTACTCATAAAAAAAAAAAGCTGAGAGGAATTTAAAAAAATAAAAGTAAAAAAAACAAAAAAAACATTCATTTCTATTGACATTTATTTATATTCAATTAACCTAGCTTAATCTTATCTATACTGTCTCATGCTTATTTCTCTGATATTCATGAGACTACAGTAATTGCCTCATCATCTTACAAGCTAACAACCCTACAAATATTTTGTCCTGAGTAAGACATTAAACTACATCCGTGTCTTGGGTAAGATGTTAAACTACATCCAGCAGCAAGGCCTCTGATCAGGTTTTGAGGAGTGTGGAACCACTTCTTAATTGCTGGTGTTCCCAGGTCAATTTAATCATTGCCTTAAACAGAGCATAGTGATTTCGAGATTGCTTGCTTCCAGAAAGTTGTACAGTCATTTGTTGTCAATGCATACAAAACTGAATATTCTTGTTTTTTTTCCCAACATTTTAGTTAGATTTTTTGTAATTTTAAGTGACTTTTGATTTGCAATTTCTTCCATCATCTGAAATATCACATCTTTTTTTTTTTTATTTCTTTCCCAGCTCCGGTGGTAAAACTCCGACCGGTTCGCCATATGAATCTCCTGAGGGAAGTCCCGTGTCGACCCCACGGCACACCCCTCAGAACAGTGTCACAGACCTAGAAAGTCTGGGTCTGTCAAACGGCCAGTCGTCGCCAAGTGCTACCCCAATGCCAGCTGGTTGTCGCCCGTGTTACTCGGCAGTTAGTACAACTGAGAGGAAACACTTGCATCCTTCTCGTGGCACCTTGCTGCTTGCATCATCATCTTCATCGACCTCATCTCTCCGTGGAACCCCAATCCCAGTCATTCACCAGCAAAATATAGAAGACACTTCTCAAATGGACAGTTCAGTCACACATTACCCTGTATCAAATATATTAGAAATTGTTCTGCAAAAACGTAAGTTCTTTCATTTTCTTTTAAAGCTGATGATTAGTTCATTCATTTGCATGTTTATACAAGATGCCTGATGATGAGTAATACTGTAGATTGAGTAATAGCAAGTCTCTTTTACACTTCAGAACAAGGTTAACAATTTAAAAAAAAAATCACTGATTTACTAAAATCTTTATTTACAGATCATGACACCTATTAGGGAGATGTGATTAAATATACTTAAATGTTTAAAAATAAATATTCAGTATTATTATTGTTTAGGTAATAAGCATTATAACAGCACAAATAGCTACATTGTGGGAAAAGGAATTTTCAACAATATACACATTTTTTTTATGTACTTATGGATATTTTTTAACTTTTATCAGAAACAACATTCTTGTACATGTAGTTATGGATAAAATTATACATTAATTACTAATTTTTTTTAGTTAATAAATATTTGTGCTCAATTGTTGACATTAATGTCTATCTGCTGATGTGTTAAAATTTTGGAATAATACAATAATAAAAATTTAAATTTCATCTCCCTGATAGATGTCGCAATCTGTTAAAGCAAAAGGTTTAGAAATAAAACACATTTTTTTTTTTTTGTTTTCATGTAATTTCATGAAGGAAGAAAAGCTCTAAGTTTAACAAAAAAACATACTGGCTGGCAGTGTTGCTATCAAACTACACATAAAACATTACTAGTGTAATTATGCACAAATCAATCATACATAGCTGATGATCACCATGTCAATCTGTTAAGTTATTTTAAATGACCTTATCTGAAAAAAACAAAAACAAGTTAAATGTATGTGTCCCTAAGTTCTGGACACATTGGCAAAAATGCATATTTTGAAGAAATTAAATTTTCAACATTTTATTGAATTGGAATATTAACAAATAACATCTTCAATATAATTTCCATCATTTGTAATGGAAAGGTGATGTGCTTTGCAAGCAACCATGTTTAATCTGTGGAGGTAAAAAAAAAAATATAGTTAATGAGATTTCCTATATGTCCAGACTTTAGGAACATCTTGTAGAAAGATTTTATCAACTAAATTTGGAGGAAAATTCAGCCAAAAAATTGTTAATTTAGCAACCCTAAATTATTGTATTGTCCTTCTTTATTTGTATCAGTTTTGCTCTTTCTTTTGCATTCTTTGTGCAAAAATGAAAAAAAAAATCCAATTTAAATCAACAAAATCAACAACCTTCTTCAGAATCCAGTACAGTTCTCAGTACAGTTTCAACTCTCCCCAGATCTCCAATTCCTCCAATCTTGCTTCTAGTGTTTTTCTTCTTCTCAACCTGTGAAGGTCATTTGTTAGACGTAGATCAACCCCAGATTCATGGGAAAGAATGGACCATTGCCCTATTGCACTGTCCCAGTATGTGTTGTTAGGGGTGGATGTGAGACATTTGAGTAATCATGTCTCTCTTTGATTCCTGATCGCCAAAGGGTATTTGCATAAAAAAAAATATAATGTACCAAACCAGACTGAAATTTGAACTCATCTCTCTGATTTCTCACCCTGAGCCATTATCAATTACAGCACCTGCACATCCAAGTTTACAGCACATGGTATTTCCAAGCAGTAGTGTGTTTAGCATGGTACAAATATGAGTAAAAAAAAAAACTTGTCTTCTTTAATTCCTAGGCAAATCCATAGAGTTGAAGTTAGAAGACAAAATCCATGATCTCATGGTTTAGATCTAATAATATTACTGTTCCTTATCATTGCAATAATATTCTTTCTCACACATTCATTTATTTATTCACTTAGCACATCTTGCCCCACTTTGGTCACCACTCCCTGCCATCTCACAATTGTGGTTCATGGTGACATTCAAGGCAAAATAGTACAATGCCTTGCTAGTTCCTTTTGTGCCAGGGAGGTGACCCTCATCCCCTCCTCCTCTCACAAGACCTACAAGGAAGTAGGTGGTTGGAATTCAAAGTTTTCCTTCTTCTAGACTGGCAATGGTATATGGAGGTCATGTGCTGCCTAGACTACAAGCAGTCCCCTCTGTCATACCAACAAGATCCAAAGGAATACAGGTCATTACATTTGGGGACTACTTGACTGCAGGAGTTGCCAGAAAGTCGCCAGTGTTAACAGCAGCCAACTGCCTTTGGGGCCCCACTCCAGGTGTTCTGGTTTTATTTACTTCCATAGTCTTTTCCATGTTTTGGATATGACTGCAAGGCAGTGGAAGTTAAAAATCAGGATTTTCCTTTCCCCAGATGGATTACCTTCCTGGACACTCGAGTGCCACGTACCCGAATCTTACATATATGATTTTTTACTTTGATTTTCAACTTCATTGTATACATAATTATCCTTCTAGTTTTTAATTTTCCTTTTTTTTTTTGCTACTAGAATTTCATCACTATTAAGCATCATCACATACAACTAACTAATGAAGCTCGTATCACCATAAGAATCCTATTATAGTTGTGCTTGTCTCTCTCTCTTTGTTAGTTCACACATGACTGTTACACCCTGCCAGTATCTCATAAATTCCATTTTGATCACACATTGGAAAGAGGGGAAAAGACACTACTTTGTGTTTCAGTGAGAAAATTAAAGAAAAAAATAAGGGAAGATAGAAGTAGAGAGAGAGAATCAGATTAAGCTAAGAACAGATAATGTACTTTGATCTTGAGTCAAAAGGTTGAAAAGCCATTGTATTTTCTTGCTGCCCCACACTTGCAGGATGTGAAACAAGGTCTGTTTAATGTGGGGAGTCCAAGCACATCCACCCAGACAAGTACTGATCTCCCCTCTTTAGTACAATAAGGGAGGTACTACTATGGGCAGCTGTTTCCGATGACTGGGCACCTTTCAAGGATATTTTCAGTTACACTCTGTCCACAGACAGACACACAACTGAGTTTTGCTGTGTCTAAAGACAGATACACAACTGAGAGATTAAATGTAGTTTATTCATCCAAGGGCAGATACTACACTTTGATCCCAGCCAAAAAGCCGAGAAGTGGAAATTATGGTGAATGAGATAAAAGAACCATTTTTAAAAACACGGTATTGAATGATGGAAACTGGGTAAGGCAATTGCAAAATTCCAGTTACCATAAATAAAATAACATTGTCTGCTGAATTATCTTCAAATTATTATTAAGGAAAATTGGTTTCAGTGAGAAAATGAAAGAAATAAGGGAAGATAGTAGTGTTTAGTTGCTGTTTCAGTGAAATTGGAAAAGTTGTCAATTTCAAATTATTTCATTTGTACCCACTTCTTAAAATAATAACCAGCATTCTCAATTATGATCGTCATTGCAATATTTTGTTAAAGTTGTTAAGGTCAAATATTTAACGATGCAACAGGAGAATTTCTATGGATATTTTAGTCTCGCAGAACTCTTCATGAGCTTACTCAATCATTAATTGAAGAATTAAGATTCTGAGAATATTAAAATAGGAAAACTGAAATTTTAACAAGTTAAAAATAATTGTATTTAATATTATAATAGTGTTTATATTTGCCTTGCCAGGTCTATAATCAAAAGAAAATGTTAGCCTCTTATTTTCAAATTAAATCCATCAAATTTAGTCACCATAAGAAAACTGAAAATGGATCTTTGAATTTTCTTTAATTTAACATGAGTTTTGCATTACTCCAAGACACAATTTCATGTTTGAGTTCATGACCATGTAAAGACATTGACTGGCAGTATTCAATTACAAAATCTGCCTTCAAACACCAACTTTATATTAGCCAACTAAGGCAATAAAAAATTTTATGAGTTGATTCATAGTTTCAATAGAAGTCTTCAAGTTGTTTTCACACTAAAAGTATTACTGCTAATAAACTCATTCTTACTATGAAAATCAAACTTAACCTGTATTTACAATTTCAATGGATTTTTTTCTCTTCCCACATAATTCATATACTACAATTTAAAAGTTTTCCTGATTATTTAAATGACTCAAAATGCATTTACAACTTTGTGTCAGTATGTATCATTAGTATAATCAAATATGGTAAGAAAGTATAAGTTAATTGGTCAAAAAATGACATGAGAAATTACAGAAGAAAAAAATGAGTAAAATATTTCTACATCAGTAGAGAGTTTTACTTTCTGTCTTTTAATGGGAGAGGGTAAGTGAGGAAAAAAGGGGGGGATAACTAATAAAAAGAAAGACAGAATGAACCAATGAGCATACATTCCTTAACTAAGTTAAAATGGATTTTAAAAAAATCAATACTATTCTACCTTAACTTAGATTGGGCTGACAAGTCATTCTCAGAAACAAAAAATTCTTTTAACCAGTAACCTCAAGATACCACTCAAAGTTAGCCCTTCTCACATCATACAGCATTAACCTTTCATCAAGGATTCTTTTTTACTCCCCAACCCTTATCATAAATGATGGTGCAGAGAAAGAGGCAAATTGACATGGACTTACTTCTGTGGTATTGTCCATATTATGATTTGTAACATGCTGAGTGAACACAGAAACATTGATTTCAGTTCACCAGCCAGGTGAGGCATACTTTATCATTATTGATGCATTTCAACCCAGGCACCCAAGGCCATAAGTACTGATACTCCTTCCATGTCAAGTCAAGCCCTTTGATGAGATTATCTTGCAACAGTCCCTTTCTTACTAATATCTGATAATTTGCTGGTAAAATTCTCAAGAAAGGAGGTTAAGCAGAAGTGATTTAATATATTTTATTATCTTATTACTCAAAAATTGTCACATCAAACAGTTTGTGGACGATGCTATGATTGTTTATATTGAAAGTGAAATATTGTCTTTTTTTTCCTGTATTATTTCTTTTACTTTGCTTTTGGATTTTAGCGGCTGCTCGAAGTCTTGGATTTGGAATTGCTCGTTGTAATGGCACAAACTGCATCCTTGTAAATGACATTAGCAAAGGATCTCCTGCTCATATTGATGGACGCTTACGGTAAGTAACAGATATAATCAGTGAAAAGTTTGGCTATTTAGCACTTTTCATTTACATATTGCACATTTACTTTTTTTTTTAATCGGGGAAAGGTATTAAATTAAGAGTAGATAAATGTTTTACTGTATGATTTTACTGCTACTAAATTTCCAAATAAATTATGAAACTTTTTTTTTTTTTTTTTGAAAGATTAACTGTTATGCAATATCAGTCTTTTTATATGTCTGTGAAACCGGGACAATCTCATCAGAGATGAAGAAGAGACTTGAGGCAACAGAAATTTGGTTGTAAAGAAGAATGCTGAGAATCAAGAGGATTGAGCAACAACAGAGTTTTAAGGAAAGTGGAAACAAAAAGAACACTTATACTTAGCATTAGAAAGAGATAGTTGGTCTAGGCCACAATAATGTAGAAAGTGGGCTTAGAGAATTTGACACTCACAGAACAGATTGAAGGCAAGATGGATATAGATAAACAATGAGCTTGTGTAAATGGTCAGTAGAGCTAGGATTAAGTTAGTGAAAAGACAAACTTTAAGAATTACATAGAACAGGAGTCATGATTGTCTATGCCCTGAAGAGGCATGGAACATAGGTAGAAACTTTAGATGCTTCTCCTAAGTCTTACATGCAGAAAAATAAGTGCAAAAAACATGTATTTAAAATGAATACAAATGATTACAGGAGGGTAATCAATATAAAATATCATTTATTTTCTAAGAGGATCAGATAAAAAAAAAAAAACACAAAATCAAGAATCTTCAAATATTAACACCCGAGTTAGCTCCTTAACTTTTTATTTTGTGGCAATGTGCTTGCTATTTAAACACACACACAGTGTTCCAGTTCTATTGCTAAAAGATCCATGTGAACACTTGGTAAATATTGTGGGTGAGTCATTGCAAATACATAAATAGTTGTATACTAAATTTTGTCACAAAGCTAAAAAGGTGCACCTAATGATCAGGAGTAAACTTCACTCATTAACCATTACATCACAGTGAGGTATCCTTGACAATATAAAACTATATAGTCAGATCAATAGAGTCCAATTAAACCAGTTCAATATTTTGATATTGTGTTTCTTTATTTCAGGAAAGGTGATATTTTACTTGAGATTAATGGGAAAAGTACAGCTGGTTTGAATTTGTTAGATGTCTACCAGTTGTTACAGATGGTCCAATCAGGGAGTGTATCCATTGTTGTACAAAGGCCACAGACTTATATGGTAGGTAACTTTTCTTTGTATACTTTCAAATTTCACCCTTTTATAACACAGTATCTGAATGTGCTTTTTTCCCCACCCTTTAATTCTACATTCTAGGATAAAATGTTTCATTTGAATATTTAATAAAGAGGGTGGTTGAAATAAGGTTTTCCAGGGTGGATTTTTCTTCAAAGAAGAATAAACGTTCATCCTGAACCATCTATTTGAATTTCAAAGGTGATCATTTTATATTAGAATATTCATTTTCCTGTATGAAATAGTTATCTCCCTTTTCTTCATCAGCTACTGTGCTGCAGTTTTTACATTGCAATAAATTCCCATTGTTTAGGACACAAATTAGTAATCTTGTAACAGCAGCCTTGCTGTCAAAAAGAAATAAAAAAAGTGGAAGTGACAAAACAACAAATGGAGATAAGATGTGGTTGAAACAAGTAAGTTTTATTTCTCTGTGATTTACGTTTGATCATTTACTTGTTCTGGAGTATTGTATAGCAGTTGTGAAAAACCGAGAGTTTATTTAGGGTATAACCTAAGGTAGTAGTCGAAATTGACATGTGGAGAGAATCAACATGCATATGTAGGGGCATGAGAAACTTAACGCAGATATGTAGTCCTTGAGAGTCTCTACTGTTGCTGATTTTGTCACTGGCCAAAGGCATCCCTGTTGATGTTGCCTTGGCAGTCATGTAGTCTGCCATGGTGTCTGTCACTAATGCCAGCCAGGTTGGGTCTTCCCTTGTGGATGAAATCACTGTTGGCTTTATAGTGAGTTGGTAGTTTAGCAACAACTGCTGCGAAAATTGCGTTGACCTTTTTCTGAATTGTCAGAAAAGATGTTATAACCCTGGTATTTTGGGGTGATATTTCAGAAATGGTTGCTGTTTTTGTCATATAAGCTGTGGATGCCAGAGAGAGAATTTCTGTTTGTGTTAAAGAATTGAGGTTTTTTTAACTATTGCAGTGTATATGCCTTTCATAATACATGAAATAGTTTCATAATCTGGGTATAGAAAGAAACTTAATCATAGGTGTTAATTATCCCCCTTGATCTGGAGTTGTTGCATATAAATAGCCACCATATTGGTTGTCACTGGCTCTTTGTAAGAAGCTAATAGGTACCTCCACAAAAAATAGAACATTTTAAAATGAAAAATCTTTCTTGAAGCTTTTAATTTAGTTTTAATTTCCAGCTAGTAGATTAAATTTAATATTTCCAATAAGCAAAATACTTTGCTCTATTTCAAAAAATAATTTAAAACTAATTTAAATTGACTTGAAGGACTTTTTTTTGTTTTTTTTTCTAAAATAGCTGATTAGCATTCTTTTTTAGTTGTTTTTCATCACAATGTAATTCTCTTTATTAAAAAATCTTCCAAAAATAAAATATTCTTTTCTGAAACTAATTTGAGGAATATTAGCTGATTTAAAGTATAATTAATCTGATTTGAAACAAAGATTATTTACTTTAAGTTTAAAATATTGCAGAAATGCATTTTTTAATCCAACAGTAGCTGTTTTGATGTGTTGACAGACTGATGGCAGGTTTAATGTTTTTCTACAGAGGCTTTATCTGTAAAACTTAATTTAAGAAAATGATGTGATTGCCTTTTTTATATAAATTTTTTTTAAGTTCTCAGTAGGAATGTTGGCTTTAAATTTACTACATCAGAAAATAAGGGTGATGGCTAATGCTGTGTATGGTCACCCATACTTACAAAAATGGATAGGTTTATACACACAAAAAAAATTCTTCTAAAAATCTTGGTTTTTGATGATTTATATTAAGCTTTTCCATTATGATTAGTAAATATAATTTTCACTTAATAAAAAAGAATCTGAGTTGAGCTTCTGTTTTGATGAAAAACAAAAATTTTTAACATGCTAGAAAGGATTAAAAAATTTAATAAAATAAAAAAATACTTTGGTCATTCCTCTTAATAATAACAAACATTTTGATGATAAAACTTTGTTTTCATCAAGTTTGGAGCCTTTTTTCATCATAGCAAAAAAGTGGAGGTACCTACTTATTCACAAATGAAATTTCAAATACTTGATTTTAAATGCAGAAATGAATATGCTTTTTTTTATGAATTAGAAATTCTCATCTCATAAACTACAATTTTCTGTTTTTGGACTGTTGTCCTCATCTTTGTTGCCATATTCATGACATTACGGCCGTTGTATGCATTGGCCTTCTTCGGTGATTAGAATTTTGAACTGAAGACTTTATTTCGTTCACCGGGGTAGATTGGTCTAGTTTCACATGCCATGCCTCTTCCAGATATCTCGGTATAAGTTATTTCCCTTTAATTCAACTCTCCAAGTTTTTGTTCACATCTGCTGTAGCCAGGTATTGAACTCACAACTTTTTGGGTCAAGACAATGTAAATAGTGTAAATAATTACAATACCCCATCTCAGAAATAAACAAATACAATTTTCTGGTATTCTTTACAAGTTAATAATCAGATTAAAACTGATTAAATTTTTACTGAATATCAAATTATTAAGTCTTCTTTTGAATACATACAAGGTTGAGCTGAAAAGTTCATAGGCTGACTATGAAGGAGTGATGCTAGAGTTGGGAAATCTTGCATGCATTCATTTCAACTCTTCTTATTAATAACTGCATTGCATCTTTCCATGTAAACCAACATCTGACTATTCAAAGAAGACTTCAAAAGTAAAAAGTAGTGACTTCTCTTGAAAATGGACAAAATTTAGCATTATGGTGTTATCAAGTACCTGCAGGAAAAAGGTTTAGCCCCTAAGGACATTCATGCTGACATGATTACTACATCACAGTGCAAAAGTGGGCAGCTGAATTTAGGAAGGGAAGGGAGAATCCTGACTCAAGATCTGGAAGTCCTGTGACTGTCATCGCTGAGAAAAACATTGATTGTGTTCACCACATAGTGATGGATAACAAATGATTGACTATAAATCAAAGAGCCAATACTATTAGCATATTCTGTGAGAGAGTTGAGAATATTCTGCATGATGAACTTGACACATCAAAGATTTCTGCTCAGTGGGTGCCACATCTTCTGACAATCAAAAGCACACATCATGAAGAAATCTGACATTGTTTCAGGCAGATACAGTTGGTTTCCTTGAATGTTTTTTAACCCAGGATGTGTATTGGGTTCATCCCTTTGAGCCAAAGAGATAATCCATACAGTGGAAACACCCCTCCACACCTTCTGTTCCAAAGAAGGCCAAGGTCATTTCATCTGCAGGGTGGCCTCAATTTTTTGGGATGTGTTTATTATCTTCAAATGGGCCACACCATCAATAGAGGATACTATGCCAACTTGTTGGGACAGTTATGAAAGGCTATCAAGACCAAATGCCCAGGAAAATTGACGAAAGGGGTTTTGTTTCATCAGGAAATTTGAACTGGTTGATCACTCTCCCTATTCTCCTGATTTGATTATCCTCTATTCCCCAACATGAAAAAATACTTGGTTGGGAACCAGTATTGCAGTGATGATGATGATGATATCTGTTGTTGACTTTTTTGACCAATAAGATGAACAGTCTTCTTTGAACAATCAAATGTCAGTTTACCTGGACAGAAACGAAAGAGTTGAAATTAAAGCATGCAAGACTTCACAGCTCTAGAACCACTCTTTCATTGTCAACCTATGAACTTTTCAGCCCACTCTCATATATTCTGAAGCTATTATTCAGTAATGTTACCTTCCAACTTTCAAATTATTTTCAACAAATAAACTTTTTTTTTTATTTTGTTATTCTTAGTTCAAATCTTTTTTTTTTTTTTTTTTAAACAACTTGTTTTTGTAACTTTTTACAGGCTGGTGAATATCACCCGACGAATGGCCCGGTTCCAATGTCTGGATCATCAACAATGAAAGTCAGTGGGAACAAGGAAGCCAGCCAACACCGACAGCTGCGACAGTCGACGTCAGCTAGTGCACTTCAGGAAAAAACACGCACTAAAGTTGCAACTTTCTTTTAAGATCTGACAATCACAGAATCATTAAATTAACTACTTAATCTATCTCCCTTTAAAGATACTAATTAAAGTTGACCTTTTGTTTGTTTTTTTTTAATGAAATACAAATGAAATTCAGAACAGTGTTTCATATATAGCACTCACTTCTGATTTCTATTTTTTTCATTATTAACAACAATCGGTAAAAATAAACAATGCTACCATATGTGACTACAATTACCATAGCTCAGTAGATTTTTTTCAGTAGCTAAGGAAAATTAATATTATATGAGATGTGGTACCTTGTTTTTGATTTTATTAATTTTCCAAGTTACTACACTATATGATAGTTTCTAGTTTTTGGTGATTCAAATTAAATTTGTAAACATCAATTATGAGTGTTACTGTTCAGCAAGTGAAGATATGTATGACCAAATTGTATAAGTTTCAGCCAAAGGGTAAACTTATGTTTTTCGTTGTTTTTGCTCAGTGCTGTAACTATAAGTCTGTGGATTTTAAGCTCATCCAGTCAATTGGTTGGATCTTGAACAATCTAGTCGCAGGTTCAAGCCTATTAGTGGACATCTAAAGTTTGAGTAAGTCATCCACAGTTCTCTATGGTCAAACAAACACTTGTAAAATTCACAATTTCTGGAATAAATTTCACCAGAAATTAATGTTGCTTCATTCACCAATTAACTCAGATTCTTTTTTTTCTTAGGGTATATAAATACAGGCCCTTCATTTTAGATATATTTTTGTGGGATGTAAAGTTCAGGTAAAAAATATGAGGTTGCTAATGAAATAAATTGGATGAATTCCAAACTCATTAATTAGTTTAGTTGAAGTGTTTCATGTTTTACACAAAAAAGGCATCATCTAAACAATATCTTTCTTTTTATATAGACATGGGTGGGTGGGGGATGGTTGACATTTCAACATATTCTATTAGCCCAATGGCCTCTTGAGGCCTAAATCCAGCCTTGTATATATCTCATGCATAATTTTAATAGCCATTATAAATTATATAGGTAAATAATATTAAGGCCATTTAATTTAGGTTTCTTTTGGAAGAAGACATTAGGGAACCTCAGCTGGTAAAAACAGTCATGATCATGAATAAATTTTTCTTTTCGCAAGCAAGAAACTAGTTACTCAGTTTCTTGAAAGAGGTAGCCATGTTATTGCAACTATTTTTTGTTTGTAGTACTTATATGGGAGATATTGGATTATGTGATGGTGTTGCTGTGTGCTAAATTTGGGTTGAGCTTCTGTTTTGAAATGAGAATCATATTGGTTCCTCTATCTGAACTCAACCTTTTCCTATTCACTTTGGCACAAAGTAAATATCAATTTAACAATATATGTTCACCAGTTTCACAAAATATGGACATTTTTTTATAGATGAAATATATTCCTTTTTAGTACAGTTCAAAAGCTGAATTGGTGTTTAACTTTTCAGCTAAGAAACTCACTTTTGTTAAATCAGTGAACAGGTTTTGCTTTATTGTTTTTTTTTTCATTGTGTCAAATTGTTTATAAATCTGACAATAAAAAGCCTTAAGTCATAGCTTTACACACCAACACCAAGATTATATATATATATATATATATATATATATATATATATATATATATGAATGCACAAAACTGACTTTGTGGCTCGTTGTTTTTTTTTTTTTTTTTAATTATTCAAGCTCATGGGTTTCTGTTCCCAAACCTTTGAGCAGAGAGTCACTTAAGTCTGAAATATTGGTCTTTCACTTTCTGTACTTGTTGCAGTTAGTACATTTGTGTACTTGTAAAAGCTGTAACATTCAAATTATATATATATATACACACACACATACACAAAATTTTAATGATAAAAATTTCTATATACCTATGAAATAAAAAGGAAGAAAAAATTAAAAAAAAAAAAATGAAAGGACAAAAACAAACCTGAAAGAATACAAGTCTTCCATTCAGAAATAAATACTACCTGATGGCAAATACAAAGTATTTGGGACACTTCTGCTGTTGCTGTTGCTGTTACTGCTGGTGATGATTATATAATTATTGCAATTTTTTTTTTTTTTTTCTTCCTTTTCTCCTACTGAGAAACCATTTTGTGCATGTGTTGGCACAATATCTATGTTTGGATTTGCAAAAAAAAAAAAAAAAAAGTAATATAAAGGATCAAATCAAGATTTTTCTACAACCATATTTTAGTTTCCACTTTTCCAAGAAATTTTAAGAAATCCTGATTTACTTTGCAAAAAGGCAACAAAAAAGGGGGCTACTTAAAAACTCTTTGATATTAAAAGGATGCATTACTTTAAATAAAAGCTAATAAGTGAAAAGGATTATAATAATCAAGCAAAACAACCCACATGCTATTATTTGAAGATTGATATTTATTTTATAAACAAATATAAATTTACCATCAATACTTTTTTTTTTCCTTAAACTTTTTGAAAATTTGTATATAAACATTTTTTTCCAAAATGTCTTTTTACTGTAAGGAAAATAATTCCAGTAAATTAATTAAAAAAAATAATTACAATAAAAGAACAAAATAAAAATAAATTCTTAATTTCTGGTTTTTATATATATATATATATGTTTTGTTCTTTTTCTTTTTTAACATTTTTTTTTACTCTTCTATAAGAATGTATGGTATTTTTATTTTTTAAAAATAAAACAAAAAATGATCCCCTCCAAATAAAAGGGAAGAATCAAAAATGATACTGTTTTTTTTCCTTACAAATAAAATTTAAAAAATGAGATCTTTTTAATGAGAAAACATTAAAATATCAAGTGTAAAACAAGGACCATTTCTTAGCTTTATTTATCAGATCACAACTTCTATGTTTTTACTGCAATCTTTTGAGACTTTGAGGTATCTAATTGATATATTGTCATTTTCCATATTGCAGAAATATTTACTTTTTCAATGACCTAATATTAAAAGGTTATCAAAGAAAAACAAAAAAACAGGAGTTTAAGTCCTTGAACCAGATGTTCAACAGACATTACAATTTGACAAATTTCCTTTCAGAATAAAGGGTAACCATTTTCATTTGGTTTTAAAGAAAGCAGTTTTTAAAAACTATTTCTCATTTTAATTAACATTTCAAACAAGTTAGCTATCTTACATTTTAAAATATCTCTATTTTACAAATAACTGAATTTGTTTTATGTTTTGAGATGAAGCATTTTCATTATTCCATTGCTTATTCAAACAGATGATTATCATCATTTTTGCTATTTTTGACATGTTCTTTGGGTGAACTAAGCTGGAGAACTTAGTTGAAATGTGTTAAAAATAACAAAGATGGGGATATTAGTCTGAATAATTCATGGAATGTGATACATGAAATAAAATGAAGATAAGTCATTTCATTTGGAAGTCAAATATTTTGACTTATTTGAAGATAAAACTCTTTCTAGCTGCTTTCTCCTTCATGAATCCAAAACATTTTCAGATAATGTAACAAGCATTTTATTGTAAATAATATCAGCATTGTTGAAATTATTTAACCCCTTGTGCCCCAAAAGCAACTTAAAATGCAAATTTTCACCATATGAGCTTGTCTCATCTTTATCTATCTTCCCTTGGACCTTATTAAGTTAAAAGAATATTCTTGGGGTCGAATAGGGTCTAGGGAAGTAGACTGCCTTTTTTTTAAATATGAAAAGTGCTTGGGTACATTCAATGTGTTAATCTGAACAATTTTTTCTATATTACATTGAGTAATGCTCAATTAAACTTTGGCCTCCTCAGCCATTTAATAAATATTTTTTGATGAATCTTGTATTGATCATAATAATCTTGTATTGATCATAATAATTTGCAAGATGGAAACCTGGATGTTCTTATGTTGCAGAATTATTTCGGAAGAAATTTAAAAGAAAATTAATTGAGCTATGAAACAATTTTAACCAGTTTTATCAATAAGAGAAAATTTGCATTTGTTAAATTTTATCTGGTACATTTGGAAACATACTTACAATATATTTCTGAATGATTCATTTTGAGAAATGAAAAAGATTAAAATCAAATTTTAAATATTTGGTTCTTTAAATGACATTTTTTGTAAAATTTGATTTTCAATGAAAACCATAAAGTTATAAAACTAGACACACAACCTTTGCCATCATAAGCTGTAACTTGGATGTCATTTCAAGGCCTCCTGAATCTATTAGAGGCCTTAGGCGGAGGGAAAAAATCCAAATGGATGTCTGCTTCTATTGATGGTTGAAAGACAACAATGTCCAACAGTATCAAATGGACAAAGTGCTGTATGGAAAAAGAGTCAAACTGACTAAATGACAAATGGACATAATGTCAAAAAGACAAACTTTCAAAAGGACAATGTTGCTATTCTAAACTTTTTATTGCTTAGCTTTGGTATCATTTAATAAATAATAGCCTTAAGTGATTAAGCCTCAGTAATAATTTATTGCAACAAGGCAGAGATGTCGAAAAAAAAAAAAAAAATTAAAAAAAAAATGCACAATTGTAAACCAAAGACTAAAAGACATTGATAGATGCATCAGTACTAAATGAAAATATCTTAAAGCCATTGCTCACAATCTTTAATTATATTTTGCTACAGTTGTAATTTGTTCATAAATAAAAAATTAAAAAAAAACTTTATTTTTAATTATAATTTTAACTCTTTACCATAATTTGAATGCAGTTCCTTGTTCAAAAATGTTAGCAATTATATAGAATTTTTTTTTTTTCGTATGAGTTTAAAAATAATCATTTACTGACAGGATACATGTATGCTAAGTAAAAGGTATTCTATTGTAGGCACATTTCTGGCCTTTTAATACTTAGTTCATTTGACATTTTGTTCATTTGTCACTTTGTCCTTTGACACTCTATTTGCATACACTATTGATAGGTGACTGGATAAAAATTATAAATTTAATGAAGATATGTCAAAAGAGAAAAAAAAATTTATGATTAATAATATGTAATCTACTGACATTCAAAGATTTTTTTTTACCAGATAATTGGTTGAATTGAGATA